AGGGCTCCTTCGCCGCCCCGCATTAATGCCCGCGTTCCGGACGCCTGCCCGTCACCGGCGGGGCCCGGAGGTGCAGCTGGGCCCTTGCTCCCCCACCAGAATTCACATTTCGGCCCAGTCGCTCACTACAGGTGTGACCTTGGGTAAGTCTCTTCTCTGTGAGCTTCGTTTTCCTGGAAGTCAGGGAGAGGAGTGGTAACACGAGCCCCAGCGCTTAGGTAGCGCGCCTTCCACCGCAGGCATGTAATCGTCAGCAGCACTGTGGGCCGGGAACGGTTGTTATCCATTGTAAACATGAGGCAACTAAGGCCCAGGGACACTAAGCCTTGCCCAAGGCCACACGGTGTCTGGTGCGGTGCCTGGCACCCACGAGGGCCCAGCGAGCTGCAGATCTGTTATGAGCCCTAATTCGGTTCCTCACACCAGGGTAGAGCCAGGGGAGGAGCTGGAGGAGGAGGACTCTCCAGGCGGCCGTGAGGATGGCTTCACTGCTGAGCACCTGGCTGCCGAGGCCATGGCGGCTGACATGGACCCCTGGTTGGTGTTTGATGCCCGTACCACACCTGCCTCCGAGCTGGATGCCTGGTTAGCCAAGTACCCACCATCCCAAGTTACCCGCTATGGGGACCCCAGCTCACCCAACTCTGAGCCTGTGGGCTGGATTGCAGCCTATGGGCAGGGCTACATCCCCAACTCTGGCGACGTGCAGGGCCTACAAGCAGCCTGGGAGGCTCTGCAGACCAGTGGGCGGCCCATCACCCCGGGTACCCTTCGCCAGCTGGCCATCACCCACCACGTGCTCTCGGGCAAGTGGCTGATGCACCTGACACCTGGCTTCAAGCTGGACCACGCCTGGGCTGGCATTGCTCGGGCCGTGGTCGAGGGCCGGCTTCAGGTGGCCAAAGTGAGCCCACGGGCCAAGGAGGGTGGGCGCCAGGTCATCTGTGTTTACACGGACGACTTCACGGACCGCTTGGGTGTGCTGGAGGCAGATGCAGCTATCCGTGCGGCAGGCGTTAAGTGCCTGCTCACCTACAAGCCTGACGTCTACACCTATCTGGGCATCTACCGGGCCAACCGTTGGCACCTCTGCCCCACTCTGTATGAGAGCCGTTTCCAGCTGGGGGGCAGTGCGCGTGGCTCCCGTGTGCTGGACCGCGCCAATAATGTGGAACTGACTTAGTGGGGCCGCCTGTGGAAGACCACCCTCTGCGCCCCCTGCTAGGGATGCGTCCTCCTGTCTTCCTCCTCCCTGTCCCAAGGGGGCCAAGTCCCCCAGCTCTGAGGACTAGGTCACGCTGGAACTGCCTGCATCTTCAGTCCCTTTGAACTTCTGCCCTCTGTTCAGGGCTGATTAAGTCCCCATCAGCTGGAGGCTCTGGCTCTCTGAGGGCCGGACCCTCAGACTCTGCTGCTGCTGCTCCCCTCTGCCATCCAGGACCACAATCTGGGGCCAGACCCCCAGGAGGAGAACCCTCCTTGGCCATCCTCATCCTTGGTTTTACCTTCCCTTCCTGCATCCCTCCCCGTCTTATCTTTCTCCCTCACAAGAGAGAAAACTTAGTGCTTCCAGTCCCTCCTTGGAGCAGAGGCCCTGCAGGTCCGAGCATGCCATTTTTTGGAGGGAGGGCGGGTTGATTGTACCCACTCAGCCCCTGGCAAAGAAAGGGGATGCCAGGGCCATGGACATAGGGTCTACCCTCCCTGTTGCCTCACAGTCTGCACCACCTTCCCCCCTTCCTTCACTACCTTGTCATGTGCCTGCTCTTGGCATTTCAATAAAACCCAGCTTGGGTCTGTGTCTTGAGTGTTTTTTAAAATACCGTTAGTGGTTACCTGCTGTGGTTGCTGGACCAGGCAGGGCCAGGAAAGACTGGCCCTCTGCCCTGACTAGGCCCTCCTAACTGCCCCCAGTAATAAGATACTCCTGGCCGCCAAGGCTGGGAACCTCTCTGAGAGACTGTCTAGCCAGCCCTGCTTCCCTCCATCCCAAGAATTAGAATCCGTGT